TGTATTATGGCATGTTTGGACAAATAGGAAGATAAATTGCACCTCTCCACTACGGAAAGAATTTTGCTTTTAATTCATTCTTATATATTTGTTGTTTTTCTTTTTTCTTGGTCATTTTCAGTGCTGCAACGTTGCCGACAACAATTGAATGCTGTGAATCCAAAGTAAAAATAGACAAGCGAGTAACTCGCTTTGTTTTGCCAATTGGCGCCACGTGTAACATGGACGGCTCTGCCATATATTATGCCATCGTCGTTCTGTTTGTAGAACAGATAGAACCAAATGTTCAACTGGGAATTGGTGACAAAATTTTGACTATGTAAGTAAAGAAAATATTAGTGACGTAAGGTCATGAAAGGTCGTCGTTTTTCAAGATGTTGAGGGAATTATTATTAGGCCTAATCTGCAGTGCAGTACTTCATTAAACAGTCCTCATCCCATTCCCTGATGAAGACATTCATTTGAAACCAAACGTAGTAGGGTAATGCACTTAGTTGCTACCATATACGCGTTGCCATCCTTTTATCAACCTATTAGTTCATAGGAAATGAAATTTTATGAGTTCACAGCAAACACGTATAATTATATATTAGATGTGTGAATGAATGTAATCCCAAATAATATTTTCCACAGAATAACGTCATCGCCCAACAATGTGAATATACTCCAGTTATTCATGCGCCATATGACGAATGGCTTAGCCATAACTCGTGAGTTATTTGTACATTATCGAATCCTTTCAGACTTATCTGTACCGTGGTATCGATTGGTGCGGCAGGTATTCCCAGTCCAGGACTCACTAACTTGGTTATCGTGTTAGAAGCAGTTGGACTTCCTATTGATAAGATTGGACCAATATTTGTTGTGGACTGGTTTTTGTAAGTCAATACTGCAATTGCAAATTAGTATAAATAATCGACGTATGCCCTTTCATCAGAAGTTGCAAAATAATTTTTCCTTTATCTGAAAAGAATATTTACTTATTTATTAACTTTACAACCTTTTATACATGAACACATACTAGAAATTCAATTTAAGAATATACACATATATATGAAGGAAATGAATAAGATTGAAGGTATAGTCAACAGGACAAGAATCCCATATTAAGACCAACCCAAAAGAGATAACAATATAGTTATAACATATTTAGGGACACAAACACACATTAACAAACTGATATAGGCTATTTGAATAACTAGTAACATGAAAAATGCATGAAATTAACTTTTAAGAACAGCAAGTTGGATTGTAGGAACGACACTTGGAATAATAAGTCTTCCAAGTGCGCATTGGATTAACATCAACGGTAGATTCAAGTTTCGAAAGGTCATGGTGAGAATACAGATTGTTTTTGAAGAAATTAATAGAGATACAGTCGGTGATATGAGCGGGAAGACTATTCCAAAGAAAAATAATCTGTTGAAAAACGAGTTTCTAAAAAGAGAAGTTCTGCAAAGATTAGGAGTCTGAAGAGATAATGACAAAAGAAGAGACATCTATAGATCATGAAGACGTTTCAAAAACTGTACGAAATTGGAAGTAATTTGAGTGTTTTTATTGTTGATATGATAAGGATGATTTGAAAGAACGCGTTTGCGAGATATTTTGAGTAAGACAAATTTAGAAACATTAATTAAATCTGTGTTGCCAAGACAGCGACCATTTACTGTCGATCATCAGCAAACAACGCAACAGTACTGTTTTTTTATTGTATCTGGAAGATCATTAACATATAGGACGAAACGAATAGGACCAATTACACTACCCTGTGGTACACCAGATGTAACATCAAGATAAGAAGGGGAAACTCCTTCAACAACTACGCGCTGATATACCATAAGAGTGATAAGACTGATGCTTACCAACGAGTTTGTTGTGAGGAACAGAGTCAGAGGCTTTAGCAAAATCTAAATAAATAAGGTCAATTTCTCTAACCAGTGTCAAGAGCAGAACCGACATCATGACGGAACCTGTAAAAGTTGAGTAACACACGATCGATTTGAACGAAACCCATGCTGAAGACTGTATTAGGAATTTTTAACAAAAGAAACAGCTTGAGTATCTTTACTCAAGTTGTTTCTTTTGTTTCTTCACATGCTCGAGAACCTTAGAAACTAGAGAAAGTAATGAAATAATGACTTCATGAGAATCTCCTTTCTTAGGAACAGATGCAACGTTTGCAAGTTAACACATTCAGAAGGAACTATTCCACTTTCTATAGATATCTCAAATAAAGCAGCGAGAGATGGGGCAAGTTAGAAAGTTAAAAAGTTAATAAGACAAACTTGAATGTAATCAGATTTATATATATATTTACTAGATCTTCCAATGAAAGATTGCTTGTGTCTCTCGGTTTTAGATAGAACTGTATAAGAATTTTTCTGTCAAAGTTCATATGAGTATTCTCTAGGATCAGGTAATTCACGCCTGCTTCTTAAAGTTGACAAGCAGTCTCTGTCCAAATCAAGAATTCTCAGACTTCTTGTCTGTGCACTTCAATTTCTTGTTGTAGATAATCTGGAAGCCCTGTCCATACGGGCGATGCATATACTCTAATACTGGTCGAATTTTAGATATACTGTATAAGTTGTCAATCCGATGTCGGTTGGTAGTTGGGATTTCTCACACTGTCTAAGATGGTATAATCTCTTGTTTGGCTTACATGTAATTTGATCTACATGTTCATTCCATTTAAGATCATTTTCGCATGATGGCTTTGGCTTTAAAAGATCAGCGGGAATGCCATCCGAACCATGCAGTTGCCTTAGACTCAATCAAATTACTGAGGAAGTGCAAGAATCCAAAGCTGGAAAAGAAATATCACTACAACTATTAAATACTGATGCGAAATATCTATTAGAGGCATCAGCCTTTTGATGTCGATGGTTTCTGATCTTTATACTTCATTACATCAGGTAGTGATGGCTTTGAGGATTTTGATTTAAAGAATCTCCAAAAAGATTTACGTTAAAAGCTCACTCATACTCACACTCCAGTTAAACTCGAGTGAGATGCCCTCAACTGAGAGTGAAGTATGGGTATGAGTATGAGTGGAGTTTGAGTTTAACTGTTTACGTTGAGAGGGCGCACTCATTTGTTAAGCAAACTGGTCAGTTTGCATTCAAAGAGCTTACTCAAGTGTGACTGACTGGGGTTTAGTTCAGTAAACAATCATGAATGCATGTTAAATAGAGTGTGATCTGTCTCGGCTGTGAAGTTCCAAAGACAACGTGCAAGATGTCATAAAGCAGGCAGTACTTTTTGCAAACAGCAAATAGCCTGCGAGTCAAGCTCTGGTTAGGGGAAGGAAGAGCCTGCAGTCGCTTCTAATAAATTTTCGTGTATAGCGTTCGCCCGCGAACGCTAGCTTTTCATTGGCTATTGCTCTAATGACACGTCAATCAACAGTAATATTAATATTCAAAACGGTCAGCAACGACGGCGGTCATCAGCAACGATGAGGCGCTCGAGGAGTGTTTAGAGCGTGTATTAAAATAACTAAACTATGTTTTAGAAGTATAGGGATTGTAACCATGTCCTGATAACTCACTCCACTGTAAAATAGTATGGTAGATATCCTATACGCGAGTGCAGGCATTCTAGGATTTCTGCACCGAATAAGTGTTGATGTTGCTAAAGCAATAGCGTTGATTCCTCGCTCATTTTCATCATCTTTCAAATTTTCCAAGTTGCAAGCGCTCCCTCAATACAGTGTTTAGTATTGGGCGATAAACCTTAATCTCCCTATATACAATGGTGTTTGAGAATACAGAGAGTTGATCAGGTTTGATACATTACAACTGTCCGACTTTATATAGAAGGCTTTGCATTCCCGGTTAACTTCTCGCTGTAAAGCATTGATTAGTTCCCTCGAGAGAAACACATGGCGAAAAAATGCATTTGCTATATACTGGCTGCCACCGAGATAAACAAATGTCTAACTATAACAGTCGTATTTTTGTCAAAATTGATTTTAACAACAACTCTAATGTTTGCCATCCCTCTATATATTTGTTGAAATCGACATATATCACAAGACACGTGCGTGAATTCTACTCTGATATGATTGGTCAGTCGAGTTTGAATTTATTATAAGGGGCGGCACGAATATTTATTGGAAGCGATTGCAAGCTCTCCCTGACCAGAGCCTAGCTGCCTCGCAGGTTAGTAGCAAAGCACAAGGATGTCCTGGAGAGTAAAAGAAATGATTTCAGGACAATAGCGGGGTTACGATGCACCAAATCTACGACGCGGACGTGACATAAAAACCGTTGCTAATGTGTGGAATCAGTGTTATTTTGCTTCACTTGTGTCTCTGACTTTATTTACCAACTGGAAGCCATAATCCGTGTAGTGAAACTGTGGGAATAGTTACAGTTTTTGTATCTGCGAATGCAGATATGTTGTTATCGTGCGCGTACCGGAAGTTTGTAAGCGTGCTTCTAGCCAATCAACGACAGCGTATAGTTGAAATGACGTAATGATAATAATTTCAAAATGGTGGTTTACTGAAGGGTGAAACAAAGGGAAATTTGTGAATTTACAGTTAAAATTAAACATCAAACGCAGTCAAAATAACGTCATTTTACTAGTCTGAATATGGCAATGGTCGAGAGTGTATTTTTGGCAAACATTTGAAGGGTTTCATCATTTAATACGCAGTGCAAACGAAATGATTCGCAATTTTTATAGACAAACAAATTATTGACTATTGGCATTGAGATACTCTTATGAAACTATGAAAGTAATGACTCTTCCACATGTTACCATTGACATTGTAAGTGTATATCGAGTGTAAGTGTTGATGTTTATGTACTTCTCAATTGAACGTTTTTATTGGTGACTTTAATTGATATAAATTAGTTGAATGAAACCAATAGAAGTCCTTTATATAATTTCTTTGTCAACGATCATAACTATAGACAATTGGTGTCTGCTTTCATTACAGACAACCAGACTTTGATAGATATTTTTATATAATTTAGCAGAGTCAGAAGCTAAGTCACACATATTGGAAACATTTCGATGGGGGGAGTGAATAGGCTTTCGGATCGTCGGATTTCACAGAAAAAAATGTTCGGATTTCGGATCTGGCGAATATTTTACACGGATTTGCGGATTTATCTAATATTTTGGCTCGGATTGTGGATTTAGCTTGCAATTTAGTTCGGATACTGGATTGTGACTTCATAGTAGAGCTTTTAACGGATTCAAATTTAGAAAAGACCATTGTCGGATCGGCGGATTTGTATACCCCTACTCACCCCCCCCTGATCATAAAGCAGTATCTGCATTGATTAATTGCTTTCATTAAAGCAAAGCCAAAGTAATAGTGGCTGCATAAAGAGCAGAGATTCAGCTTCAGATTGGAATATCAATACTTATAGTAACAGTTGCAACCAATCATAATTATTAACTTGCAGTATATTTAACAGTTATTCTACGAACTCGAGTCGAATATGAACTGATAGCAGATGAGGCGCGTAGCGCCGAATTGGCTATCGCTCATATTCGACGAGAGTGAGTAGAATAACTGTTTTATTTTATACACAAGGTCTGAATTTTCAATATTTTTCTATTTTGTTTATGTTTTATCTTCGCTCTTTCAGCCGATTATTTTTTAAAAAATATATATTTTTAACCATTTCAAATTTTAAAAATTCATTTGCTAACCTGTAAGCAATTTGTGGGAGTTTTTTCAAGGTGTTTTTAATCCTGTAAAAGCTATAAAAAGTGAACAACTTGCCGTTTTCTCGTTCGCAAAACATCGGAAATTCAGTTTGAGCCTCCATTTTGTTTTTCTCTACTAGCAGGATATGAGCTAATATCCTGCTAGTAGAGAACCAATCAGATTGCAGAATACCTCATATCCAGACCTTGTGTATATAATAAAACTATATATCCTGGAGGGGGTGTTCTCTTCTTCATCCACCCTGATTTCTGTAACTGAATGTCATTGCCAAGAACACCAGATAAGCAATTTATATCCCCCCTTCCCCTATCCCATACTATATTATCTTACAATCAACAACAACCATATGTCATAATGCGATCTTATTTATAGCACACAATGTACAAAACTAAACCTACTATTCTGTTTATTGGATTTTCTTCCACGACAAAATATTATTGCATGGATCTGGTATGCTGAATTGTACAATTCTGTTCAAGAACTATATGCATCGATTATACTTCTAATTTCCATACTTGTTATCATTTGTTATTGATGAATGACCTTCAATATATGATTTTTTATGTATTTACTTGGCACAAACAGTTGATTTGTGCTCCATTAACCCTGACTATGCCATTTTCTAAAATGAAATAGATCAATTATAAACAGCAGAAATGTTGATGTCATGTATCTGCAAGTCCTAAAAACAGCATTCTAATATTAATTCCACCAAGTGAAGTGCAAGAAACCATATCATTGAAGTCCACCTTATCACTGAAGTCCACCTTATCACAACCCGCACACCCGATTACCTATATATACATGAACTTACGGTCACAGCTCAACAGCTGGACGTTGTAGCTCAGTTGGTTATAGAGCGCTGCGCCGGAATCGCAGGGCCGGAATCGCAGTCGTTCCTGGTCAGGTCTTAAAGAAAAACAGCATTCTAATGTATATTGGCAACACCTGTTATCCTGACAATATCTATATGCATTTACAATGTTCTCGCATGCCTGCTAAAGTTTATTGTGAACTGTCAAGAAGATTTGGAACCCGTCATGTTTTAACAAGAACATTATAAAACTGAAAATGATTCAACAAGAACATCATAAAACTGAATATCATCTTTGTGAAGTTATGGCCGGAATTAGTTTCTGCAAGTTGAATATATATCAGCCATTTTATTTTTTTTTCATCTGACATACTATAACTCTAACCTCGTTTAACTGTGTATAATGTCTATAATATATATTTGTGATGTTTATAGAAAATATGTTCATTTAAACATCAGTCTCTTAATATTTTTACAAGCTACTGAGTATTGATTGAAGCCCTTGGTAACAGTACATGACCATGACCTAAACTTTTGATATTACACGAACTTTAATGTACAGTATATATGAACGCAGTGTACTAAACTTTATAGTGTTAACGTGGCTCCTCAAATAGAAACTGCTAACCTGAAGTAGACACTGCTAACCTGTAAAGACATGCTAACTCGACGTTACTGTAAAAGCAAGCTAGAACTCGCCACAGAAGTGAGAGATTTGTAATTTTATAGTATTTAATGTCTATAATATGTAATTTGTAATGTAATGTATTTTCCTTTAATTTATGTTTAGATCGAATAAAAACTAACCATCTAGTCCGGATCTGAGACAACTAAAGCAATCTAGTCCGGATCTGACACAACACTTAGTGTTCGTAAGTTTCAATGAAGGAAAATACCTGAAAATTTAAACCATAGTTTTTGGTGTAATATATGTAATTGGGCAAGTACTGGTGTAAGACATTGTGCAGCCTAAATAATTAGAGGACCAGTATTCAAAATAGTTGTTATATACTCCGACTCCTATGGTGAACATATACGTAATAAACTATGAAAACTACGATTATAGGAACTAAAAAAGGTGAAATATTTAAATTTGTGGAACGTGATATAAAAGGCGAGAGATTGAAAATGAGTAGGAAAGGCAACCCTGTATGCATTTCAACCCAACAGTCTTCTTCTTTAAAGGGGGTTGTATAGGTAGAATTTGCAGAGGAAAAGGAAGGAGTTTGGAAAAAATGTGAGAAAAACGAATTATTACGAAGCTATGGAAAATAACCAATTACACAGTATTAACAAAAATGTAAGGTGGAAAGATAGTGAAAAATTATATATTACTACTACATGTTATTAGTCAAGTTATCCTACCAAAGGTCTTGTTAGTGCGAGACATTCCAACACCACACATTTTATTGTTCATCTTTTCAGTTAATTTTGAAGTAGAGCAAATGACAGGTCCTTTTAGAACTAGCTTACACAATAATACAGTGAGTTTGAATGATTGTGATGGTAAGGTTGGAGTAAGATTTATATCATAGTGTGATCATGTGAATGTAGGTGGTTGCATCCTAATATGGTGAAGGGAGCTTAAATTACAGGTATAGCGATGTTTGGCAATAATAAGTGATCCGTAAGGGTTAAAAATTAACGATTACACCCTGCAGGTTTTGATTTACTATATTATAAAAGAATCTTATGTAACGTTTTGGTGTTTTCCAAGCAATGAATCGTGTATGAAACTGAATTTGTAACGTATAAAAAACATCACCAATAGAAAGTGATCCATGAGTTTCCGGCCTGTTGTTGGCTTTTAGCAAAGGGTGGGTCATTAATTTTTGTGGGGTGGGCCATTGATAATTAAGCCTTATTCCAGGGGTGGGTCAAGGAAAAATATGCAGTTGAAGATTTGATTTCTCCAGCCCACGCCCCCCTCCCTCTCTATACTTTATGACTGATTCCAGCCTAGACCTAGGCCTTCTATTTTTATTTTTTTTTTAATATTCAGCGCTTTTTCACATGAGAAGACAGGGAGTAGGTGATTTGGGGGCGGGGCGAAGGAAGGGCGCAAGCGAAAAATAGAAGGCCTAGCAGATTTTCCAATCAGTGTTGTTGGGTCCGGGATTTTATCCCGAGATCTCGGGAATTTTTAAAGCAGTCGGGATTTTTTTTAAATTTTTATTTTAAAAAGTCAATCTCGAGATTTTTGGGGGATTTTTGAGAAAGGGAAGTTCGAAGTTTAGAAATTGATTTTTTGGTAAAATTGACTAGAAATAAACAATTTTGCTAAAAATGTAGGGTCCGTTCGCTCGTATTTAAACCTTATTGAGTATTGGGCTGCATATTTAATGCCAGATTTCGTTTTTACAACATGACGTACGAGGCTATCCCAGTGAACTCTACTATATACTGGAACGATAACGTTCTACTTTCGTTTACTATATACTGGAACGAACGTTTTGTAGGTATAAACACGCGTGATTTTTGCGTGGGCTTGTCACGAGGTTCGGACAGTGCTTCCATTTTGAAGAAAATTTCCTTTTTGAAGGAAATTTGAACTAGTCACAGAGTAAAGATACACTCTGTGAACTAGTGGAAGGAAATTATTAGGAAATTCGAATCTGAAAGAAATTTGAAGGAAATTTCGGAAGATTGAAGGAAATGTGAAGGAAATTGCCTTATTTCTAAAAAATCCTAAGAATACGGCAATTTCCAAGATGCGCTTCAAAATATGCTGAAAATCCTGTCTGCGAGATGCAAAATCTGAAAATTTTCTGGGGGAGGACCCCCAGACCTCCCTGCTTATTCTCCTTCGTATTAATCTAAATAAACTCTTTGTCTCTGCCCTTTGATAATTCAGCTCCTGCAACGTCTATGTTCCTTCTAGAACAAGAAATACCCGGTTATTCGAGATAAATTACTATAAAATCAGTTTTAAGGAGGCTCCCTACAGTTGCATGCGGGATGTTCGCGGGACCTATCCCACGCAACCGCATGATCAAAACAAAACAAAAATTGACCACGCTTTTTTTAAAAATAAAGCTATTTCTGAAAGGTTTCTAATGGAAAAAAGCGTTGAATAATACTTCGTTTTGAGTGCCAAATCACTTGCGAGTCTATACAGCAATTCTACATATGATACGAATATCACTAGACCAAAAAATAGCTACGAAACAATGTTTTTTAATTCCTCTAAAATATACACTGTCAACTGTAAAACATTTGCAAAATTGCATACAAACCATAGGCAGCCCAAAACGGCGTGTAGAATGCACCAATAATGCTTCCAAATGTCAATTTGCATTAAGCTCGCCCCATTCCTTTGTCATTTGTCGCGTGCCGCAAGCACTCAATTTGAAAAGCAGTGTTGATATATATAGATTATACCTACGTATAATACCTATATACCTACCTATAGGTATAATCTATATATATATATCAACACTGCTTTTCAAATTGAGTGCTTACGGCGCGCGACAAATGACAAAGGAATGGGGCAAGCTTAGTGCAAATTGACATTTGGAAGCATTATTGGTGCATTCTACACGCCGTTTTGGGCTGCCTATGCATCAAATCAAGAAATGTTTTCTATTTCGCTGTCGTCATGCAGTCGTTATAATGCAAACTTTAAATTGGACCAATCAGTGTCCGCTATTCATGACAGTCCGCCATATATTTGAGATCAGTGAGGATGACCACCCATCGTTGGTGACCCACGCGCATATCAAAGCATTATGCCTTGCCGATGTAAATAGAGTATATTATGCATGATTGTTTTTTTAGTTAATAATTTTAATATTTTTATGATAATTTATAGTAAGTGCGCACTGCTTCTGAAAGGCTACCGTGAATAAATAAGCTTAAATAATAATAATAATAATTGATGAACTTTAGACTTCGCTAATGCTTTCGTTTCCCCAGGTGTAAATAGCCGGGGGGAATTAGCACCCTCGCACGGCGCTTCGCGCCGTCGGCTCGGGGATTAACGCTGTTTTGTTTTTTAATACTTCTTGGCCTAGAAAGCCATTTAAAGTTATCCCGACGCCGTTCTGGGCGTAAGTCCGGGGCGAGGGTACTAATTCCGCCCAGCTATTTACACCCAGGGAAAGGAAAGGAAAGGAAAGGAAAGGAAAGCATTAGCAAAGTCTAAAGTTTATCAATAATCGGGCGCGTGACTATGGTTCATGAGTGGATCTCACTGATCTCAAAAAATATGACTGTTTGCCAGGAGTGGGATAAGCAAAATTTCAATTTTCAAAAGCATATATTTGGAAAATCATGTTTCACACAATGAGCTTTGAAGCAATTTTTGTCTGAAGAAATGAGAAGAATTTTTTACTATGAGAAATCGTGAAAAATAGGGCAAGTTTGCTTTGAATGATTAATATTTATGAATTTTGTTGCTTTAACTCTTTCCCTAAAACATGATCATGAACTGTTTTCCTTTCCAACGAAGCTGCAAGTTTCCTAAATTACCCTGTTTTATTTAAGAAAAAAACTTAAACTGATGTAAAGGAGAGCAAATTGATTTGAAGACGGAACTGAAATTACGGAACAATTTGAACTTATTATGTTTCATTAAGTAAAAACAGTTTATCGGCAAGACGGCAAATGTAGTTTTAATAGTTAAATGAACATTTCAAAACATTTTACGAAGCGTTTCAAGTTAAATTTTACATTAAATCAAAGCTCACAAAAAGCAGAATAACATACCTACAGTATATATTTCGGAAATTCATTGTTGTATAGCTAAAAGTCCTAATCTTTCAACTATTTTGCCGGTTTGTACAAAAAGATATAAAAAATTTGAAATTTTAAAAATATCTCGAGCCTGCGTTCAGTGTTCCATTTCCGAATGCTTCATGTTAATTCAATGTTTGGAAAATATAGGCGAGGGGTTGCTGCATCCATGTATTTCTAGATTATAAAGTTCTGCCAATTTACATGCAAAATGATCGGTATAGGTAATTTCACTACCCTGCTTTATATGAACCATATGTTATACCTCAAATACAACCTATATGCATTATTGATGCTTTCCAGAGATCGACTACGAACGACTATCAACGTGATGGGTGATACATTTGCCGCTGCAGTTGTTGCAAAATATTCTCAAAAAGATTTCGCAGAAGAAAGACCGCATGACAATTCTGATTCTCTGGAATTATTCGACAACTTGGCCAACGATGTTGTACCCGAATCTGAAGAGACCAACTTGTGACTATGGTCAAGGGGTGGGTTGACTACAATTTTGTAATAAATTCGCTATACTACAGCTACAATCTTTGCCAGAAACTATGGGACAGCTGCTGTAATTTCATATGATTTGAAAGGAATAGCGCCCTTCCCCCGTTCCCCCAGTTCAATGTTGGGCCAACAACAATCTGATGTCTGAATGCGCGTCGCCAACATTGAAACGGGTGGGGGGGAGGGAGGGTGAAAAATATATATGTATCAGGAAATGATATGTTACAATCGAATGCATGTGAAGACTAGATTGTCCCAATCTATATTGTCAAAGATTGTAGTTCGAAAAAATGTACGGATGAAGTTTAGCTACTGTTAGCAAACTTGAACAAAAGAAATGTCGTTTGTCAAGTATCTGTGTAGCATTTATTAAGTATCTGTGAAGTACAGACGACCTGTATACACAAGTCTATGTATTGTTAACTTCACTGATACATATAGGCTTGCCCACGCAGATTGTCTTGAAGGATTATGAATACAAGTTATACAACCTCAAACAAGTTACCCTAGAACGCTTTCCTGAACATGAGTCCATATCATGTCAGCAAAAATTTCATTTGACCGTTTATCACGTCAGCAAAAATTGCATTTGACGAGCCCCCTTGATAAGCCTTTGGCTTTTGAGGCAAATATTTCAATAAAGTTTATATAAAAAAAGGTTTGTAATGCAATAACTTTTTCCTTCGGTTAAATTTTCTGAAGTTTTGCGGTATTTTTACAGCACTAGTCATTTATTGCAACATACTAATTTTTAAAAAATCGATAAAACAGTTTTTGTGGAACAAATTTCGCGTAATCTCTCTCTTCTACAGTTCTACTAGATATTTCCTTTACACCTACAAAATTTCAGAAATTTTGACCGAAGGAAATTTTAATAAATCCATTTTTAGTCCAAAATGTGATCTTTGTCTGCTGTCACTCAGTCCACATTGTTACCATAACAACACACAAATTTGTTCTTCCGAAAGATTATTTTTCAAGTATAAAGATTACGCAAACATTTCTACTTCAAAAAATCCCCATTTCACTACAGGCGGCCCATTTAATGTTTGAAAAAATAGAAGATGCGTAGCCAGGTTGAAACATTATTTATTGAGCGTTCTCTGACTTAATATTTATTTCTACGAGCTTTCAGCTATCAGTCTATAGCCTTCGACGGGTGTATACAATGTTGTTAATTTACATAAATACTGCAGTAAAAATTATTAATAAGACTCAGGAACTATTAAGATAAGATTAAGATTAGATTACGGTTAGAGGTTATGGTTAGGGTTATGGTTATGGTTAGGATCAGGATTAGAGTTTCCCCTAGATAGATGATTATCATCTATTTGTGTACTTTTGACAATTGATGCTATTCATCTATTTATCCCGGAGACTGTGCTGGTAAATCACTGTTTTTTCTATTTTCCGGTCGAGAAAACGACCTATGTTCATTGTATTTACCGCTTACCTAGATCGCTAGCCCACCTAAATGGTCGCCGTTAAGTAATACAGTGCCAGTGGACGATAATAAACTTTTTTGTTTAAAGAGGCTGTCAAGTCCGTTCTGCAGCTAATGCGCATGTTTTGTTTACATTTTTGTTTCAAACAATAGATAACAAGACGCTCTGTAGATCGTTAACTCGCTGGGGCTATACAAATGAAAACTAAATTTTTTCACCATATTTGCTCATAATTTGGTAACCGCTACAGAAAAACAGAACAATTTACAGAAAACAAGACGCCAGCTCAGGCGTTCACACCGGCCTCGGTTGGCCAAATAACCTCTCATGTGAGTTTTGTTTCAACCCAGGGTCTTTCTTAGAACGGTGCGAAGCGGTTTGTTTTGTTTATTTGTTTTTGACTTTTTGTGATATGCATTGTCCCTAATTCAGACTAAAAAACTATTGTGTAAGGGTTGTGAATTTGTATGTTTTGCATGCGAAGGACGAAGAACCATTGTCATTCTGTTCAGGCAACACATTTATTTTTATTTTTTATTTATTTATTTCGCCCAATTTTCCAAAGTACAATAAAATTTAACTATTTACATTTTTATAATCTATACGTAGGGCTAGAGATCTTTTAGAAACCCTTTTGGGCTTTTATTTTAAGACCCCTAGTTATAACAAAACTTTTATTACTTAGTATAATTTCAGGATGTCATAAAAATAGTACATAATATAATAACGAAAATATATACAATTGTGAGAGTGTTAAAGGAAAATTAGTCTATTTAAAAGATTTTTCAGATTTTTTAAACTTTATACATTAAAATAGGATGATTAATTAGCTGATTGGT